CAAGGACAGCAATACACCCCTCCTACAGGTCAACAAGGACAGCAATACACCCCTCCTGCAGGTCAACAAGGACAGCAATACCCTCCTCCTGCAGGTCAACAAGGACAGCAATACACCCCTCCTGCAGGTCAACAAGTGCAGCAGTATACACCTTCTGAAGTTCAACAAAACCAGCAACAGTTTTCTCAAGAGAGGCAAGGGCAGCAATACCCATCCCCAGCAAGTCGAGGACAAGATCAGAGACCCAGTCCGGAGTCACAAACTGGACAGACACATGGGTCCTTCCAAAGTCCAGATACCAACCAGGATCAAACACACATGGAATATCCTTCATCCGGGTCAAACATAGACGTTCAAAGACAACAGGTACCATACGACAACAGTAATCTGTCACAGGGCGCTTCACCAGAACAAGCAGTCTATACAAGCCCGAATCTGTATGGAAGTGATGCCTCAACCCCTCAACATTCGGTCGATACGGAAATAAATCCAACCCTTATTGCCTACAACAATGCTGCTGGACCTACTGGGAAGGTCCGCCTATCACCTGATCAAACTGACACCCTACTACCAGACGTTACTCATTCAGCTACGCCTAACACAGCACAAGGTAAACCTGAAACATTGCATGGCGCCAGTGTTATAGCTCCTGTTCATAATGGGGAACGCGCACCTGTCAACACAGGTACATCCGAGTCGTCTGGTCATGTCGTCCCATCACCGAACCAAGGTAACAAACATACAGGTGAGGTTCAACCTAAACTGTCTGATGCTGAATTGGGGTCCCGGTCTGTGCAGGAAAACCCTACCCCTCACAAACAGGTCGTGCCCCCTCGCAAACAGGTCGTGCCTACACCCGGGACACAGGTCCCAGTCCTTAGCAGAAGCGCAGTGAAGCAGCCAGTTTCTGATGCTCTGAGCGCGCTAAACCCCAGCAACTCCCACTTTGTACCCCCCGGGCTTCAAGGACAGTGTTACAAGTACAAGGACCTCTCCGCGGGATATTCTCCATCTGGTGATAGCTTCGAGTACCCCGAGTGAGTGCTTAAAGTTCGTTTGTTTGTTTGTTTTGTTTGTTTGAAAAAAATAAGAGAAAATTCGGGGATGGATCAACCTTTCAGACAGAATAATCAAATAGTACGACACCATGATGGTATGATTAATTCTATATGAAAATCGTTTTCATATAGATGAACTGAGGACGCACAAACTACGGCCTTGTATTAACAGATGCGTTATGATGTACACATCCGCCCTCGGTACTTTAATACAGTTAACATTTGTATTAAGGGATTTCGCTTTCGTAATATACCTTAAGTTTGTTATATCAGTTTGGTCATATGAAGATACAGCATGTATCAGACCGTTAAATACTTCACGGGCGGTGGGGTAGCCTAGTGGTTAAAGCGTTGGTTCGTCACGCCGAAGACCCGGGTTCGATTCCCCACATGGGCACGATGTGTTAAGCCCATTTCTGGTGTCCCCCGCCGTGATATTGCTGGAATATTGCTAAACGCGGCGTAAAACTAAACCCAGTCAGTCAGTCAGTTAAATACTTGACAGTACGTGTGGCGTCAATCCTAACAGTTAATGTTCAGATAGAGTGTACCTCCTTCATGTGTCTACTGCATGTTCTATACCTTTGTTTCAGCAATGCCATCAGTGCCGAGATGAGGGAGAAGACGTTCCTGGCTCCAATTCTTGGGTTTAAGAACTTTGCTCAACCTGACACACAGTTCGGTCTCATCCCGTTTGGAAATCTGAAAGGAAATAGTAACCAACACATCAATGATTATTTGTATTCAGCGAACGTCTACCCAACCGGGTACAAGGAGGGGTAAGACCGACCTAGTATAGTATCAAACTTGGGCATCGACTAAGTCACATCTTTTGTTTAGATTCGGCTCAAGCATGTTAAGACATATTCAAGTGCAATAGGTGCCCACGATCGGAATTGTCATTTCCCGAGAATTGAGGCAGTTTGGTGTGTTGTTTGTTATATGATATGTCTGAACTAGACATACCAGTTGGGGGCGGTTGGGTAGCCTAGTGGTTAAAGCGTTGGCTCGTCACGCCGAAGACCCGGGTTCGATTCCCCACACATAGGTACAATATGTGAAGCCCATTTCTGGTCTCCCCGCCGTGATATTGCTGGAATATTGCTAAAAGCGGCGTAAAACCATACTCACTCACTCACTCACTCACATACCAGTGATGGATATCATCAGCATCGATCTACACTATAGGGACACGCGATCAATTAGGTCGCTTAACCTGACTCCATCTAGTCGCCTCTAATGCTACTAACATAGCTTGCGAGGGACCTGTGTATATCGGGACGACCATAACCTAACGAAGGAACAGACACCTTCACGCCTATGCCGGTCAGCAGGTCCTTCAAATTAATGTTTTTGTTAGTGTAGGATGGGATTCTTCCTCACCAATCACAACCAATTCTAATCCAGGTGGCCATGTATTAACGCTTCTAGTTTCAGTATAGGTGGCGAACGCGAGATTGTCCAACCACACAAACTTAAACAAGAAATCTAAAGAGCTGTACATCAAATCAAGTATAACACAGATTCGTCCGGATGCCCCTTATGAGTATGCGTGGGGGACAGATTGCCCTCATTATGACCCTGCGATGGTCAGCACCATCAATTACATCCAAATAGGCAAATCTCTCCAAACTACACCAAGTTGTCGTGAAATAAAGGAAATAATACCAGTAAATGAGTAGGGCTGCCCAATACTGCGATACGCTGATCGAAAACCGGTATTTTGACTTGCATTCGGAAAACTTCGTAACACTCGGAAATCTTCGGATATTTCCTTTTTTCATTTGTGCCAAACATTATTCACATTTTTATTTTCAATCATGAATAAAAGTTGTTATTAAAGCTTAATCAAGCATAGTGATTTTGCTGTGTATTTGCTTTATAAATCAAGCATTACCTTGATTATAAGTAGTTTTTTGTGTAAAAATTCTTCACGCAATATAATGCAATACATATCGCAATACATGCTTTCGCATCGCAATACATGTATATCGGAATATTAAAATTCTCTGCAATACCCACCCCTATAAATGAGTATGGATTTACTCCGCTTTTAGCAATATTCCAGCCATATCTTGGAAGAAATGGGTTTCACACACTGTGCCCATATAGGTCATCGAACCCTGGTTGGGTGGCGAGACGAGCGAACGCTTTAACCGATAAGTTACCCCACCGCCACTGGAATCAGTGGCTTCGATGCATGTTCAGTCATTATCCTGCGTCTGATTAAGCATCAGCTTACTACAATTGAATCAAATTAGCTGAATGAACAATAACCCGTTTTCTTTACAGTGATTTCAAGATGGCTACCCCTAGCGACTACACTTGTCGAAGTACGCAAACCACACTGCGCATGTTCAAGCTATATGGCGGGAGATGTTGGACTGTCAACCCCGACTACCAGCGAGTGTCATACAACACATGCGGGTAAGATATTTAATTGCGTCATACCCTTTCATAAGTTGTGGGGATTGTCTTGGCTATTATTTCAGCAATATCACGGCAGGCGAAACCAGAAATGAGCTTCACACCATGTACAGATTCGAACCCGGGTCTTCGGCGTGACGAGCGAACGCTTTAACCACCAGGCCACCACACCGCCGACACATTTCCTACAAAAGGGCTAATGATATTCAACCGTTCAAACTCTTATAAAAAATATTTCAAGACAGTTCGATGTGATAGCATTAGGTCATTGCTATTTTTTTCTGTTTCCAGAGGGGCGGTGGGGTAGCCCAGTGATTAAAGTGTTCGCTCGTCACGCAGAACACCCGGGTTCGATTCCCCACATGGGTACAATGTGTGGAGCCCATTTCTGGTGTTCCCCGCCGTGATATTGCTCGAATACTGCTAAATGGGCGTAAAACTAAACTCACTCACTCTATTTCCAGCGCACCTGGTCTGCACTGCGGCAACTGCAGTAACAGCTCTCACACTTCTGGGGGTGGGGGAAGGTGTTCGGAGGATTACGAGTGGGTGAAGGTGTGGGGATACTGCGAGAAGGCGACCCCCGGGCAGAGAGTCAGACAACTGAGACTGTACCTACCAACAGGGTGCAGCTGCAAGACGTATTACTGCTGATGTGATTCATGTGACGAACTGCCGCCATTTGTGCTGATTTGGAATCTATGAACGATCGACTCGTACAGGGTGTACAGTTGTACACAGTGCCTTTCTTTAATTTTGTTCTAGCCGCTGTTTAAGAAATATGTCGGTGTCGTATATATGTGTAGGACATCGGATGTTGCTGAGGACACCGGTTTATGGTTGAATATATTTTTGGTTTATTGTCTCACAGAGCAGTAACCATCTACTAGCAAAGACATACACAGACTTCGTATTTATATTACTTAAACAATCCGCATCATGGATACGTGTATGGTATATAATTGTTATCCGATTATGATGTATTTTAATCAAAATACTGGTCAGTTCTACTAAAAAACGCTGTTATTCATGTTATTTCAGTCTAGATCTACCTGTGTTTCATTATTCACGCCTTATGCCAATTAAAACAAATGACTGATGATTGTTGTTTTCACTTCTTATTTTTCAATATTTAGGAAATAAGGAAATACGGGTCTGTGAGACAGGAGGTCTACCGACTAACATTATTTAAAGGTTTTCTCAATTAGAGTTGCCTCCCTTCTTCCAATCATAGCGTGTTTACAAATGGGAGTCTGTTGTTTGTCTTTGTAGACTTGTGGATGCGTCTTCGGAAAACTAACTACAGAGCGGGATGGACATATTGCGTGCAAATATAAATTATAAATTATATAGCACTTGAAAATGTACTAATAAGCATAATTCGTCAGCATTACTAATTCTAAAATTAGACTCGCGGCGGCCTCTAAAAATAGACTCAAATTTGATTGGCTGCTATCTTTAGTGCACGGCACGTCGTGTTATTAAAATGACAAAATTTGTTGTACCGACAAACCAAATTTATAATCGCAGCTGGTAGAAGCAGCAGAAAAGGTTTCATTGAAAATGGCAGCCAAGCGCGATCTGGACGTGTATGTGAAATTGCCCACAGGAAGAAACAGCCAGTATTACTTGGAGCCGACAGCCACCATTCGCACTGTCTGTGAGCGCGTCGCTCGAGAGGAGCAAGTGGCGGAAGAGCTGGTCAGGATAAAATACCAAGGGAAAATCCTCAATAAGTCTCTTTCTCTGGCCTATCTGGGAGTTCGGGCAGAGACTATCCTGAAGGCAGAGGTATGTTTTATTTATCAGGTCTATGAACTGCTTGTCTAGCTTCAATTTCAAAGATGCTATTTACTTGTTTTGTTCAACCGTATTGTGCAGACGAGAGGCTTTTTGACTCCTGGGGTGTCTAGCAGTCCCAGAAATGCAGTATTTTCCATTCCGCCCAGCCCTTTCTCTAGTGCTAGCGCTCTATATCCGATTTCCATATCTCTTGTCAGAGCTTCTTGTCATGTATATATACTGGCACACCGCTAGTGTTATTCGGTCATACAGGTCCATATACCCGTGAAGATCCGGGTTAGAATTGATCTTCAGTAACCCATGCTTGTTGTAAGAGGCGACTAACGGGATCGGGTGGTCAGGCTCGCTGACTTGGTTGACACATATCATCGTATCCCATTTGCGTAGATCGATGCTCATGTTGTTGAGGGGCGGTGGGGTAGCCTAGTGGTTAAAGCGTTGGCTCGTCACGCCGAAGGCCCGGGTTCGATTCCCCACATGGGCACAATGTGTTAAGCCCATTTCTGGTGTCCCCCGCCGTGATATTGCTGGAATATTGCTAAAAGCGGCGTAAAACTAAACTCAGTCAGTCAGTCAGTCATGTTGTTGATCACTGGATTGTTTGATCCAGACTCGATTAGTTACAAACCGCCGCCATATAGCTGGAATATTGCTTAGTGCGGCGTTAAACAACAAACAATCATAGATCGAAGTTACATCATGCATTTATAAATACGAGTTTGTCATCTGTGTATTACACAAATCGTATACTGCCAAACATCGTTTTGTTGAATTTGACTCGGCGATCATTGATCGGTGCGAGTTTTCTTCGCAATGTGTTGGTCATCCGGTGCCCAAGCTTGCTGACCAAATGCATTAGGTGAAATGTGTTTACATTACCATTTATTGTGTTCAGTGATTATTTGACAGTGACCACACGTCACCAATTACGTCACAATCGCCGACAAATTGTGATGCAATTTCATTGTACCGTTATCCTCTAGTAGCGTAGTAAACACTGAAAGTCGGTTTTGTGTAATGAGAGATTTATTCCCTACATTTTAATTTTATGCAGAAAGTTCAGAATATATTTGTTGTGAGGATATCAAGATCGATTACTGGTAACAAATACAATTGGTGTATACAGATCGTCACCCCACAGCTGTTGAACCTGGTGGTACAGTTCCCGGATGGTCGCACGGAGGAGTACGCAATGCAAAATACGAAGAGTTTTCGTCATCTGCAAGACAAAATAGCGGAAGCGGAGTGTGCGTCGCTTGCCAATGTCGTGCTCAAGGTACGTGACCAGTAGACCCGTGAAAATACAGGATAGAATTGGTCTTCACCACCCCCTGCTTGTCGTAAGAGGCGACTAACGGGATCGGGTGGTCAGGCTTGTTGACAAGTGTCATCGTATCCCAGATGTGTAGATCGATGCTCATGTTGTTGATCACTGGATTGTTGTCAGACTTGATTATTTACAGACCGCCTCCATATTGCTGGAATATTGCTGAGTGCGGCGTAAAACAACAACCAAACCAAAACGTGACCATGAATGTGGAATAATATTGTCACGATTCATTTTCTTACTACTGAATTATTTTACTTAAATCTTTTCAAAATAAGAAAGTATAAGCCTTTAAGTTTTCATGAACCATTTTATTCATTTTATCAGCATGCTATTTAATCGTGAAATCTCTTGAAAACACTTGTTTTTCAAAATGGTTTTGTTTTTGTATATATGTTTTTGTTCCCTTCGGTTTCTTATCAAAAGGAGAAAGATAAAACATATTAAAGTAGTATGCATTCATTAAAAAAAAGAAGTCCATCTCCCCCCCCCACCCCCGAATAAGTACTAGAGAGAGGCTTTGTCAGTAAGGTACAATTCAGAACGAATTTATAAAAATGCTTGAACAGGAACCTGTATTATGTACAGAAATACCCTCTGTGGTCGTGCGCTGTTAAGGCTACTGTGTGATATCGACATGTAGAAAGTATTCATTATTGCAGAGTGAAGGGAGACAACTCGCTGGCGTCAGTTTGATGGATGTGGGTGTCAGGGATGGCTCTGTTATCTGCGTGGAAATAAAAGAAGTCAACTCAGAAATATCAGGTTAGTAGAACGAAATGATCGACATCATAATCATCATTATATGTTAACAGTAGCAGTAACAAGGAAGGATATCAATATATGAACTGGTTTTTTATTATAAACTTTGTTATCCTTCGTTACTGCTCCATCCCAATTGCGCAGATCGATGTTCATGCTGTTGATCACTGGATTGTCTGGTCCAGACTCGATTATTTACAGACCGCCGCCATATAGCTGGAGTATTGCTGAGTGCGGCGTAAAACAAAACTCACTCACTCACTCACTCGTTACTGCTCCAACTTCTAAATTCCTCTCACAGCAACATTACAGTCCCAGTTGTAGTAGTAGATAAGTTAGGATAATATTATACCTCAGCTAGTTGTTCTAACATGAATCAGTGATGTGAACCGGGGGGGTAGATTAATGGTTGAAATGTCTGTTCCTCATGTTGAACACTGGGTTCGATTCCCCACACAGGTACTACGTGTGATGCCTATATTTTGCTGTCCGCGCCGTGTGATATGGCGTAAAACCTCACTCACTCACACATTCACTCACTCACTCAGATAACAGGATGCCATCACTGTTGTTTCAGAGGGCGCCACATCGTTGTCAGAGGCACTGGATCCGAAACAGCTGTGTGTAAGTAGTAGCTGGGTTTGGGGTTTTTTTTAAAATCGTGTGATATTTCTAAAATATTACTTTGTAGAAGTGGTATTGAAGTGCTGGAAGCCAGTATAGTTCATTTTTTAATGTTATAATACATCCTGTATTTAAAAATGAAAAAACATGATCAGCTTAGTTATAATTACATAATGCCATTTTAGAAAGTGGTCAAATGTAACATATGTTATATTTGGGATTACACTTTCTTAGTAAAATACAAATTCTAGTACATTTTGGGGTTGAGTCCCATCCGGGATTCGGACCCACTCCCTCAGAGTCAGGCACCTAATCGCAATGGCTGAGCGGGTTAGGCGGCTGACTTTGTGTGCTGGCGATTAGGTGCCTGACTCTGAGGGTGTGGGTTCGAATCCCGGATGGGACTCAACCCAAAAATGTACTAGAATTTGTACTTTACTAAGAAAGTGTGATCCCAAATATAACATATGTTAAGCTTAGTTATATATTTTCTTTTGCGCTCAATTTGTATAGCTAAGAAGTGTTTTGGGAGGGGTTTTTTAATTTGTTGTTTAACGCCGAACTCATCAATATTCCATCAATATTCCAGCAGTTTGTACATAATCAAGTCTGGACCAGACATTCCAGTGATCAACATCATGAGCATTGATCTACACAATTTAAATGCAATGACGTGTCAACCACTTCAACGAGCCTGACCACCCGATCCAGTTAGTCGCCTCTTACGACAAGCTGGGGTGGTGAAGACCAAGTGTATCCCGTATTTTCACGGGTTCTAAGTAGAAGTGATTATGAACATCTCGCCCCTTTGTAAACCCGTGAAGGTCCGGGTTAGAATTGATGTTCAGTAACCCATGCTTGTCATAAGAGGCGACAAACGGGATCGGGTGGTCAGGCTCGCTGACGGGTTGACACATGTAATCGTATCCCAATTGCGTAGATCGATGTTTATGATGTTGATCACTGGATTGTCTGGTCCAGACTCTAATATTTACAGACCGCCGCCATATAGCTAGAATATTGCTGTATGCGGCGTAAAATTGAACTCACTCACTCGTCCCTTTGTCTATTCAGGAGATCATGAGTAGTTTCGACAATGGAGGCCGCCGGGTTGAGGTCGTATTTTCTTTCGATACGACTGGAAGCATGTACGGCTGTTTAAACGAGGTATGTTTCAAACTATGTTTCTCCATACGCGTTATACTGAGGATATAGGTACTAGTGTCTAAAGCCGCCCTCAATATAACACCTGCTCTAATACAGCCTTCTGTATATGAACGAAGTTGGGTGAGATAAACCAGTGATTGATAGTATGAATGACAATGGTGACCTATAATCAAGACGTTAGAGTATGCACAGGTGATATATATGATGGCCAATATCCTTTATCATATCCGACACCATGAAACCTGTTCATTGTTCAGTGCCTATTTTAGCATCTTAAACAATCAAAAGTCCACCGACAATTCATAGTCAGTTAATTTTTTATAGGTACGACAGAAGCTGCGAGAGACGTGTTCGCGCCTCCTCACCGACATACCGTCCATTAGGATCGGCCTCATGGCTCACGGAGACTACTGCGACCACGAGTACCAATACGTTCTGCGTTCAATTGATTTGACGGCCGAGGTTCAGAGACTGGTCAGTTTCGCCAAGGATGTACCGCAAACAGGCGGAGGGGACGCTCCCGAGGTAGGAACTGCGTCATTTACACCTCTCGGCGCACCTTCTCACACTTGGAATACCTGTTTGTAGATAATCACACGTTTATGGTCAAAATCACCTTTGTAGACCACAGGGTTCTCCAAGAGGATTGCGACTGTCTGACACATCACGCATATATCTATTTTGAGAAAGCCAAGTATTTTGAGAAAGCCAAGTATGACTTATATTACTTCTTTTCCCACATCAGCTTTCTCTCAGGTTAACTCAGACTATTGGACCGATTCTACGACCAATGGCCGTGTGAGTGAGTGAGTCGACTGCTGGACACCACAAATGGGCCTCCTACCCACGTTGGGAATCGAACCCAGCTCGTGACGAGCAGGGCTACCCCTATTTGCCTAGCTTTGGATTATGAACAAAGAAGTAAAAGCAGTATTTTGTATTTGATTACAATCTAATCGCATTCTTTGCTAGCACCAGTTCATTCTTTGTAGGGGCGGTGGGGTAGCCTAGTGGTTAAAGCGTTGGCTCATCACGCCGAAGACCCGGGTTCGAATCCCCACATGGGTACAATGTGTGAAGCCCATTTCTGGTGTTCTCCGCCGTGATGTTGCTGGAATATTGCTAAAAGCGGCGTAAAACCAAACTCAGTGAGTCAGTCAGTCAGTCATTATTTGTAGTTACGATATCCTTTCGGTAACATTGTAATCTGTGTTGCAGTGCTATGAGTGGGTACTCCGCAAGGCCCAGCAACTGGACTGGTCTGAGGACTCGGCCAAGGCACTGGTGGTCATCGGAGACGCTGAGCCCCACCCCCCATCCTACACTGACCAGAACATCAACTGGAGGGACGAACTGGACCTGCTGACCGGCATGGGCGTGAAGGTGTGTGTTCCGTCATGATGTTCTTGAAAGGCATTTAGAAATTGGACGAACATGAATACATGACACGTTATTCGTTATACGTTTCAGAGCTAATTCCTGCTCCATTATCAGGTGAATGAGATTCTTTTCATAGTCATACACATACATGCATATACGTCCCCAGCAACCAATTATCAGCGACCTGGGTGCCCATGCACAAAACAACCTTAGCACTAAGACTGCCTGAAGTCTATGTTAAGGTTTGGGACACCTTAGCGCTTTAGGGCGGTGGGGTAGCCTAGTGGTTAAAGCGTTCGCTCGTCACGTCGAAGACCTGGGTTCGATTCCCCACATGGGTACAATGTGTGAAGCCTATTTTAGGTGTCCCCCGTCGTGATATTGGTGGAATATTGCTAAATGCTGCGTAAAACTAAACTCACTCACCTTAGCGCTTTGTCCAATGACATTCTGGCTGATAAGTACCACTGTATCCCAATAACGTAGATCACCATGGAGACAATCACTGGTATCGCTGGTCGGGGTTTCATTTGAGGCCATATAGCTGGAATATCGCAAAGTACGGCGTTAAACAACCAACAAGCCAATATGTCCATTATGGCGCGCTGCTTGTGTATCTATTCTCACTGTCCATTTTATTCAGTTTCTATCATGTTGCGAGTATGCTGTGAAACGGGTGTTATAAATGGGAAGGTCGTGTGAGCTGCACAACTTGTGTCAGATCCTCCTTCTGGCAAGAGGGGCGATGGGGTAGCCTAGTGGTTAAAACGTTGGCTTGTCACGCTGAAGACCCGGGTTCGATTCCCTACATGGGTACAATGTGTGAAGCCCATTTCTGGTGTACCCCGCCGTGATATTGCTGGAATATTGCTAAAATCTCACTCACTCACTCACCTTCTGGCGAGAAAATATCTAACTAAACTTCATACATGTCTTCAGGCTATTGTTCAGGGAGCCGCAAAATTAGGAGCAGGTCGTTAAGTGACCATTTTGAGTTGTACCAGGAGCTGTTCTTCTTGTGTTCATATTTACATATAAACGTCTAGATCAGTTGAAGCAGTCAAAACGATGGAATTACAAAACTGTTCAAACCGGCGTCTCCTCATCTCTGACACAACATCCTATGGGAAGATAAGGAGGGGGATCTGACGCAGGCAGAGCAAACACATTCTGAAATGTATGCCATGTTCCTCGATTTTTAGTTTAAAAGTTGACGCTTGTACTTCCAGGTGTATGGAGTGAACGCAGGCCGTACAGGACATGCCGTGCATTTCTATAAAGAACTTGCCGAGAGGTCCGGAGGCTGCTTTTTGGAGCTCCGACACTTGGACGTCATCACAGATATGTTTCTAGCAGGTAGGAGAGAATACCGACATTATTGTAAACTAGTGCTTTATATGTTAGCATGATTTTGTCTTGTATTCCTTTAGAGCATTGCTTGGTATTTCTGAAAAATGTCGGACTCGAACGCACAATCACAGGTCAACTTCATTACCAGGTCTTTGAATGGCTTTTAGAAGTGATACACATATGGAAGAGAGTTGTTATGGATGTCATGGGGAACACAACGTTTCAGAGAATATCCTTTCTCCTTCATCAGGTGAATGAATGGTATGAGGCAGAGAGCATATAAATGCACATGTAAGAATAACAAAAGTAATAAGACAACAAAGATACAGGCTAAACAATGGAAGTTAAGTGGCGTTGATGTGTCATTGGCAAAGGACAAATGGAAGCCAGCACTTAATAGTTAATTAGCGCTGATTGGACGCCCACACTTAACAGTTAATTAGCGCTGAATGGACGCCAATCTTAACAGTTACTTAGCGCTGATTGGACGCCAACACTTAACAGTTAATTAGCGCTGATTGGAAGCCAACACTTAACAGTTAATTAGCGCTGAATGGACGCCAATCTTAACAGTTACTTAACGCTGAATGGACGCCAACACTTAACAGTTAATTAGCGCTGATTGGACGCCAACACTTAACAGTTAATTAGCGCTGAGTGGACGCCAACACTTAACAGTTAATTAGCGCTGAGTGGACGCCAACACTTAACAGTTAATTAGCGCTGATTGGACGCCCACACTTAACAGTTAATTAGCGCTGAATGGACGCCAACACTTAACAGTTAATTAGCGCTGAATGGACGCCAACACTTAACAGTTAATTAGCGCTGAATGGACGCCAACACTTAACAGTTAATTAGCGCTGATTGGACGCCAACACTTAACAGTTAATTAGCGCTGATTGGACGCCAACACTTAACAGTTAATTAGCGCTGATTGGACGCCAACACTTAACAGTTAATTAGCGCTGAGTGGACGCCAACACTTAACAGTTAATTAGCGCTGAATGGACGCCAACACTTAACAGTTAATTAGCGCTGAATAGACCGTCCTTACATTATCTATTGTAGTATGTTACCGGGAATCCAATGACGACCAGCTGGACGCCTTTGAGCGAGAGATTGAAGAGAAAGGTGAAATGACGGAGGATAAGAAAGAAATGTTCAAACAACTGGAGGAAAAATCGTCACCCGAGACGGAAGCTAAAACAAAAGATGTAAGATTAAATGAGTATTGGTGATATTTGAAGTTTTGTTTTACGTTGGTTTAAGTTGATGTTATTATACAAATATGTATACATCGGCCAATAGATTTACTTTCAAGAGAACTGATATGATGAAACTAATAATAGCAGACTCATGTACAATGAGCAACATTTTATGCTGGACACATATATTAGTGGATCGGGAAAATGAAATATTCCAGGACTAAAGAATACCACTAATTATATGCATATGTATCATGTACCGTAATGGGTTTTACGCCACGCTCAGCAATATTCCAGCTATATGACGGCGGTTTGTAAATAATCGAGTCTGGACCAGACAAGCCAGTGATCAACATCATAAGCATCGTTCTGTGATACGATGACATGTGTCAACCAAGTCAGCGAGCCTGACCACCCTTAGTCGCGTTCTGAATGTAAGCCAATTTGTTATATGGTTGAAATGCACCCCTAAAACATTAGGAAATTACTACAAATTCATTAGATATGCAGTTATCCTCATTATTTCTTATGCTCGTATGGTGTTTGTGGAAAGTATTGAAGTCATAATGTCGCGATAAATTGATAGAGATATTTGTAATTTCTTTGAGTGGCATTTTAGGAGCTGGGAAGTACAAAATTGACAAACTTTATGGATAACCAACCACTGGCTTCATCACCTTCTAAGCCTACCCTGTTGTGTTAATTACATCGTTATCTTGTTTTCTTTGTCACACTCAGTATATATACTTTGCCACCATTGTATGTTACATTCCTGCTAGACAACGGTACAAGAATCTGTATCGAAACGTCGCACTCTCGTAATATAGAAGTTGTTATCCGTGAAGTTTGTCAATTTTGATATTTGTAATGTTGTAATGTTTCAGGGATGCATTTCTACCTAATACCAATAACCCGTGTCTACATTATGTAACTCTGGTAAGCTTATACCTGTTGTCCTTTGTATTTATACTGTCTAAAGAGGCGAGAACTTAACTCACTCACTACTGACATTTCAGAACTACGTGCCTGAAGCCTGGTGGGATTTAACCCGTGACACAGGACCGCCCCAGTACTCCTACCTTGCGGACAGTGATCAGTGGGTTGACTACGAAGGTAGGCACTGTGTTTCGCCTTGATGTTCCTGAACCATGTTCTTGATACGTCATCTGTCATTCACGATGGCGGATCCGTCCCCAGCAACCAATGCTCAGCGACCTGGCTGCCAATCTTAGCACTAAGCTCATTTTTTATTTAAGACTGTCCGAAGTCTATGTTAAGGTATGGGGCACCTTAGCGCTTTGGGGCGGTGGGGTAGCCTACTTGTTAAAGCGTTCGCCCGTCATGCCGAAGACCCCGGTTCGATTATCCACATGGTTGCAATATGTGAAGCCCATTTCTGGTGTCCTCCGCCGTGATATTGCTGGAATATTGCTAAAAGCGGCGTAAAATCTAACTCACTCACTCACTCATTCACGATGGGTGATATAGGGCTGTAATTGCCCAAACACCTGGGGTCACGCCGGGTTTTCGCTTCCATTTCGTCTAGACTGGCAAACATATGTAAACTCCTAAATTTTGGAGTGTCATTATGTATTCTGTATCCTCTGACTTGAACATACACTTCTATTGTGAACTCCCTGATCCGCAACAAACATGTTGTCAAGACAGCTATTTCTCTTATTTCAGCCCCTGCGTCCAGCTGTATGCCGACTTTTGTCTCAGCACCAGGTAAGTGTCGACATTTGGTCATTATCTAACTGATAGAGTGTTAAACGATGAAAATAACACGATGTTTGTATGGGACGTGAAAGGGAAATGTGCGTTTGTGTGAGTGAGGTTATTTTCTGCTTTAAGCAATGTTCCAAAAGTGGGCAGTGTACCTGTAGTTGGAAGCGTAACACTCACTCACTCACTCTCTCATAGACTCACTCACTCACTCAGCCATCCACCCATCGATCCACTCACTCACTTACTTTCTGCAATTATCAGCTTTATGTTCTCTTCCAGCCCTGTCATCGACTGGATCCAAGAAGAAGTACAAACGAAAGAAGGCTTGCGTTGTCATGTGAACTGAGCTTCCATGTGTTTTCATCGTCACTTGTGTTGCCAGCACAGTGTCATCAACTCATCACATATATCACACTCGCGTCACACGTGATTCTAGAAATTGTTTCTAGTCCAACAAATCCGGCTCATATTTGACAGCTGACTACATGTGATTTTGACGTGAGTGCTGACCTCCGCTTGATACGCTATAATGGTGTCTGCACAGGACGTCGACCTTTGGGTGACATGTCACGGTTCAGGTAAGAAAAAAGGTCGACGTCCTGTCCATTTGGCATTATACCAATCAACAGGGGATTAAAAAAGACAGAGATAATCCAGTGTTTACACAAGGTGATAATCCGGATTATGCGGTTGAAAGCACAGACAACAGGAGAAAAGTATTATATTTCGTCTATTTTATCTCTGATTCGAAATCATCCCACATGAAGCAGGTGAGATGCAGCATCTGCAAAATCTCTGGTGTTGATGAGGCCATTCCTAAGATCATGTTTTAGGACGTCCAGGCGACGTTCCAAATCCCTGTACTTCTTTTTCTTCAAGGGACGTTTTTGTCCACCGCCGAACTGCAACAGGCGGACTTCAGTATGAGTCGGCTCCTTTGCAAGAAAGATATTGGGGTGCGCCTTCCCCACCAATCTCTTGAGACGAGAGTGCCACCCTTCTAAATGGTTGTTGGTGCGGGTTTCCTTCACCTGTGAACAAATATCAAATGTAAATTATGCAAAACATGGTTCGGATCAGATATATTTATTTTACATTTATAATTTTCTTTGTAACATATTGATATTAGGCACTGTTAAAATGCTTACCTTCATGTCTACTTCGACAATGGGATGACTATGGACGCCTTTCACCTTCGTCACTATGTCATTGACGGTTGACGCAGTGGCGTTACAGTTCTTTTCTGTGCACTTCAAAGATATCCAATCTCTCTTCCTCTTATTCACACGGTACATAAAGCCACCAACACAGGTATCTGCCACCACGAGATGTTGGAAGAAATCGCTGATTCAACTGAGCATTTGCCATTTCGAAACTGAATGTAAACTACCTCAAGTTCTTTCCTTGTATATATCCAAATTGAATTAAATGTGTTCATCATTGTAAAAATCACTCTCATATGATAACCTTTATGACATTGATGACATTTTGTGTGAACTCCGTGGGTGAACTGTGTTCACGCCTTTTGCACGCCCAAGTTATCGACAATTTTAAAACAACACCCACTGGCGGATTAGCGTGACTCTAACAACACCTTCGACATCAAAGTTAGCCGCAGGTCGACTTCGTGTCCATAGCGAAATTTCAAAAGGTCGACTTCGTGTCCATAAACCGCTATAATGCATGAAAAACAAGCACTTAAGGTGAAAAGGGACGTCGTACACCCACCTCCACCTGATTTTAGATAATTCTGAAGCTGGATAAAATGTACACAGATTATATAGAAAAAGCAAAAAACGCTCAAAATCTTTGCTCATATCTATAGAAATGTCCATGTCCATATGCTTAGTATTCAACCGTACTGCAGGGAGATAGCGTACTAGAGCATATTTGTTCCTTACCGGAAAATTACACCTGTAATATACCCATATGAATGTGTTGTGCTGAGAGATATTACCCTTATCTCATTCCTTGGATCTCTCTATGGTTCGGGGTCGGACGAGTTTCCGGGGGACCACGGTTAGACCAATCGTTTAAGGCGTCCCAGGGTTGTGTACATTACAGATGACAGAAACCTATCATCGTGGGTTCGAATCCCGTTTTTGTCCCGTCTTTCGGAGTTTCCATCCCCGTGAGGATGACACACCGTGGTATAATAGGAATTCCGACCAATGTTGAAAACAACCTAAGATCCACCTCACTCTCACCCAATCAAAGTCCCACGAAGACTATTACAGTGTGTAAAGTGAAGCGTTGCTCGTCATCAGGGTGCGTGGGCATAGTATCTGAAACGTAGGCAGGTTATAACCTATATGGTCCGGCTAACCATTTGTGACAAGCAACCAGTACGTCGTGTCTTTTGAGACGTTTCAAGATATTGAACAATCGGGCTCTATTGAATGACATTGTATATCAGAGTATCCTGACGAGTTACGAGTGGTCAGCAAGGTTATGTACAGTATTTTGTCGCTTTTATTTTTGTGTTGTATATCAGAGTATCCTGACGAGTTACGAGTGGTCAGCAAGGTTATGTACAGTATTTTGTCGCTTTTATTTTTGTGTTGATGTTTCAAGTTTAAACCTGTGATTCGCTCTTGGGTGTGAGAGCACCGCAACTATGACCATGGTTTTCATGGTTTTAAACTATTGCAATGTAAAATATGAAAATAAATACACAATCAATGTACGTGTTGTTTGTTTCATGCTCCCCATTCCTCAAAGATCTGTTCGAGGATTGCTCTTCAGCTACCCACGCTTGTCGTAAGGCGACTAACGGGATCGGGTAGTAAGGCTCACTGACTTGGTTGACACATGTCATGGTATCGCGAGTGCGTAGATCGATGCTCATGATGTTGATCACTGGATCCAGACTCGATTAATTACAGACAGCCGCCACGTAACTGGAATATTGCCTACTGCGGCGTTAAACAACAAGAAGCAAACTAAATCGAAGCATGATCACTGACTGACTGAGTTTGGTTTTACGCCGCTTTTAGCAATATTACAGCAACATCACGGCGGGGGACACCAGAAATGGGCTTCACACATTGTACCCATGTGGGGATTCGAACCCAGGTCTTCGGCGTGACGAGCCAACGCTTTAACCACTAGGCTACCCCACCGCCCCCGAAGCGTGATCAGATGGAGAGAGAGTTTATTACATGTAGTTCATCGTTGCAATCTAGAAAAGTATTATTTGGTGTTTCCAAATGTCTGTCGAAATTTGGATCATTACCATATGATGTTTTCTTTAAGGTTTTTGATAGTAAAGTGATGTCTATTTTTTCTAAAGTTCTGAAATATGGGTACTAGACTTTGATTCTGAATGTAAGATTAGCAGTGCTATTGAAGGAGTTCATGTTCAAGCATGTTAATATTTTCTTGGTGTGAGGACATCGTTCGTGGTGAGTGTAGTAGATCCCCGGTATATGTCTTTGCCTACAAGCGTTGTACAAAGTATTGGTATAAACTGCTATCCATGCCAAACTCACGCTTACCCAAGAAATGTTATAACATGTTAATGTTAGATATGAGTCATGGTAAATGTAATTGGGCTTCAAAATTGACAAATGTGTTATTTAAAATCGGATTTGGCTATGTTTGGGATAACCGGTGCATTGATAATATTCAGTCGTTTTTATCAGAATTTATGGATAGAGCTATATGTATTTATCAGCAAGTTTGGCATGCGTCCTTGTCACAATGTTCTAAAACATATAATTAGTCTGTGTACAAGTCTAACTTATATTCAGAGCATTATATTAAGCATATAAGTATTCAGAAATTTCATGTCGCTTTAGCTAGGTTTAGATGTTGTTGTCACCAACTGAAAATTGAGATGGGTAGATATTCAAATGTCCCAATGAAAGAAAGATTTTGTGACACTTGTAAAATGAACTATGTCGAAGATGAGTACCACTCCTTGTTTGTATGCCAGGCGTATGTCGATTTACGTGAACAGACTACATTTCGTCCATTTTATTTCGTATACAAAATCATCCAACATGAAGTAGGTGAGATGCAGCATCTGCAAACTCTCTGGTGCTGATGTGTCCACTCCTCAGATCATGCCTTAGGACGTCCATGTGACGTTCCAAGTCCCTGTGGGGCGGTGGGGTAGCCTAGTGGTTAAAGCGTTCGCTCGACACATCGAAGGTCCGGGTTCGATTCCCCACATGGCTACAATGTGTGAAGCCCATTTCTAGTATCCCCGCCGTGATGAAATATCGCTAAAAGCGGCGTAAAATCACACTCATTCACTCACTCCAAGTCCCTGTATTTCTTTTTCTTCAATGGACGGTTTTGTCCACCGCCGAACTGCAACAGGCGGACTTCAGTGTGAGTCTGCTCCTTAGCAAGAACTTTGATCATTTAAAAAATATTTGGGTGAGCCTTTCTCACCAATCTCTTCAGACCCGAGTGCCACCCTTCCAAATGGTTGTTGGTGCGGGGCCGTCAGAATCGTGGTGGTCCACTGGTGTCTATGGACGTCACAATTTCATTGACAGTTAACGCAGTGGAGTTACAGTTCTTTTCTGTGCACTTCCAGGATATCCAATCTCGCTTCCTCTTATTCACTCGGTACATAAATCCTCCAACACACAGGTATCTTCCACCACGAGATGTAGGGAAAAACCGACGATTTAACTAAATAGTATGCATTTGCCTTTTCGAAACTGAATGCACTCTAATGCGAGTTCTTTCCTTGTATATATCTAACTTGAATGAAACATGTTCATCATTGTAAAATTCACTTTCATACGTTGACATTGATGACATTTTGAGTGAACTACGTGACTGAACTACGTTCACGCCTTACGAGATGCTCACGTTATCGAAAATCTACACCTACTATAAATAATCGGGTGGTCAGGCTCGCTGGCTTGGTTGACACATGTCATCGGTATCCAATTGCACAGATCGATGCTCATGCTGTTGTCGTCTGGTCCAGACTCGATTATTTACAGGTCTCCGCCATATAGCTGGAATATTGCTGAGTGCGGCGTAAAACTAAACTCACTCACTCACTCATTCACTCATTCATACGCCCAACAGAATATTTTTCAGCAGTTATCCAAAAAGTATTTTTTCACGTTGACGTTATATATTTCGAAATCGATGATAATCTCTTCTTTTTTCTTTCGATACGCAACCTGAAGAGAGTAGTTCATACAGACACAACAGAACGATCATTGGTTGAAGTTCTACATGGTATATTCACACCGATCCTTGACAGCTTCCGGCCTCATCGTCAGACCAATACCAGAAATTGAGCAATGTTCTGCAGGTAACTAAGGTGGACCTATAACGAATGAGTGAGTTTAGGTTTACGCCGCTTTCAGCAATATTCCAGCATATTACGGCGGGGGACACCAGAAATGGGCTTCACACATTGTGCCGATGTGGGGAATCGAACTCAGGTCTTCGGTGTGACGAGCGAGCGCCTTAACCACTAGGCTACCCCACTGCCCGAGCTTTACAACCACTGAAACTGACACCACCTGATAGAGGAATTCACGCAGTCAAAACTGTTGGCTGCTGTGCACATGAGTCAGAAAAATCTATGAAAATATCTAGTTTAAATGTTCGATACATACAACTGTGAACACACATGGTTGAGCAGAAAAGATGTAATTTATTTTTTGATAAGAGACAAAACATAAAACATCAATATTCAAAAACATATTTCGGACTAATATCTTCTGCATAACATTAAAATTCCTGATTGTATTAATACAACACAGATATTTAAATAACACTTGGCAAGATAACATAACGTTATATACATTGAACATAAAGGATTTTCATTCATTCATTCATTCATTCATTCATTTATTCATTCATGCATACGACTGACTGACAACACGCCGTTCTTAACAGCGCCAGTCATCATGACTTCAGCGCTGTACTTTCACGCTAGTTGCTGCGACCCTCTTCACCTTTACGACATCTGAGATTCCAGAAGGTGACCTTTCATGGATGTTCTTCTTTCAAATAAAATAATTATCTTTATGTCTTGGCATCAGTGAAGATCCAACCAAGAACTGATCCTCAAGAACGTTCAAGATGATCATGATGATAGTCACTGTATTGTCTGGTCCAGGCTCGATTGTTTCAGACTCATACAACTGGAATATTACTGAGTAAGACATTCAACAAGACACAAACGTTATCAACATTACTGGGGCCTTCTTAACAATGATTTCCTGACAGACATCAACTGTCCTCAAGAAGCGTCATACCATCATCGCGAATTGGACGATGTGTCCATGATCAAAAGAGAGCTTCGGTCGACCGAAACAATGTCATTTGTCACAAGGCTTGTCAAAACCCATGATAGTCTCAATTGAAACCTTAGAAATTCTTCCCGGAGGGCGATGGTCTCCATTGCCAACACACTGTGAAACGCGAGATCTCTTCCGCAATGAAGTGATGGTATCTTTCAAAGCTTTGTTCTGCATATGTTCTATTACTATGTCAAATATCAGCCGAACGTTCTGGTTTGTCTTGGCACTACTTTCCATGTGAAAGCAACTGATCCGATTTTGGATATATTTGTTTCTCTTCTCCGTCTTCTTAGGTGTTTCGCATTTATGGTCGCATTTGTTGCCAACTAGAAGTATAGGGGTGTCTGGAGAATCTGTAAACGAACAATAATGTAAATCATGTTACAGTGTTTCCAATATTCATGGATAATTGATTGATCAGCATTCTAGAAGTTTGGAGGTTTGCTAATCAGCTGTTTGTCATAACATACTATGCATATACATACACTAATCACATAGTTGTATTAACCATGTAATAGCTTGTAAGAATCTTCATCGAAACGTTGTTCTATGCAATAGACAAGAGGTTGTTATTCTTAAAGTTGTATGCTTCAGTTTTATTCATTGTTAATTGTGCAGTAGTTGCGCAGGCCCCATTCAACAAAACCATCGTAAGACTGCGACTTTTTGTCGCTTAACGCTGCACTCAGCAATAATCTAGTCTGGATGAAATAATCCAGCTATTGTTTTAATACCCTTAATGACACAGCGACACACTACCTATCAAATCACCAGTCTGACTAACTAATCTCTTTATAAGCTCATGCAACACGCAGTGCTTTCTGTATTACCCTCAAATCCCTAATGTACAAGACCTGGGTTCGATTCCCCACATGGGTACAAAATGTGCAGCCCATTCCTGGTGTCCCCCCGCCGTAATATTGCTGGGATATTGCTCAAAGTGGCGTAAAACTAAAAATCACTCATTCTAAGTTCATGCAACACGCAGTGCTTCCTGTAATACCCTCAAATCCCTACTGTACAAGAGACGGTCTAAAAGGCCGAACTTAAAGAAGGCTGCATCAGCTATTGTCATTCTGAAAACATATGCTAATATCAACAAGTGATTTACCTTTAATGTCTAAAACACGTCGACACATCTTGATGGCCTTCTTCAAAGACTTTCGTTTGTCAACAGAGTAGATGACCACAAAGGCGTCACTGTCCTTTATGTATTCGTCTGTCGCTGATTTGTCTTTTTTTATCCCATGGGTGTCCACCACCTGTATCTGCTGGTAACTTCCGCCTGAAAGCCATGTGTTAAAGCATAAACTAGCAGAATATACTAAGTATACTGACATTTGGTTGGAGAAGCAATCATCTTATCCAGTTATGTACATCTACAAAACAGATCTAAATCTAAAACAACACTTTTACAGATTTCTGACAAATAAGTAATAGAGGATATTTCAAGTGTCTGGAGGTTAGTCATCAGATGCCAGACTTATTGATCTAATGCATTTGGTGAAATATTTACAATGTGACAAGACACTTAACAGAAAACCTGTTTAGGCCTTGAAATAGTTCTGGCAAAATGATATTTTCACTACAGTGTACATATCGATTTTGTCACTGCAGTAAAAATACCAATTTTCAGTATTTCACACTTAAGTATATTACAAAGTATTACCTGAAGTTTGCACGAAACGGACGAAAGTCTCTTGGCTCGTGGGAGAACGCCCTGGTGGGAATGTGCCGTCCAGAAAGCGAGTGACAAAGGACGTCTTTCCAACATTGGGCGCCCCAAGCACGGCGATAGAGATGGACGTTGGTATTGATTGCCGTCTCAAATCCATACTGCATGTCAGACAGCATTGTGTCGCCGTTATATATAATCTATAGTCGCTATATAATATATAACGCCTTAAGTGTTGTGATTGGCTAAAGAAATGCTGACGTCACCTGCCACCGAATACAATATTTTCACAGTATACACTACTGCCTAAAAGTTCATTCCCATTGAACGCGTTGGGAACGTGTGTAACACGCATGTGACACGGGTGTGCAACGCATTTGAGTCCCGTGTCACACGGGTGTGCAACGCGTTTGAGTCCCGTGTCACACGGGTGTGCAACGCGTTTGAGTCCCGTGTCACACGGGTGTGCAACGCGTTTGAGTCCCGTGTCACACGGGTGTGCAACGCATTTGAGTCCGGTGTCACACGGGTGTGCATAGGCTGTGCAACGAGACACACGCGCGTGTAACACGGGACCAAGTTTCGGTTAAATTTGACTAAAAGCATTAGGGTTGCATACATAGAATTGTATGATATTTTAATTCGGAAATTTGCCAGCAGAGGTCGGGGATGAACTACGGGATGGTTTAATTGGTACTTGTTTTGTTTATTTTTATGTTTTGTTTTTGTACTTTTAAAGATAGTGCTTGTTTTGTTTATATTTGTGTATTGATTTTGTACAGGAACATAATGACGTTTGTTTCCTCTTCAACTTTCTGTCAAAGGCGGAGAGTGTTTTCCTATGCTGTTATCTGAGTGAATTGGGAATTTATGCCCAAAGTGAAAGTAAATGATTGATTGGGGTGGGTTTAATGCTGCAGTGTACAGTGACTAAGTTATATAAGGACGTGTCGGTTTGTTACATGGTAAAAGATTACTCGTGTACCCTATTTGATACCAACAAACCTATCTATGTAGGCGGAGTGGAACAAGACTAACGCCATTGATTTTTCTACTTATGAGGATTCTTTTGATGCACGGGTCTCCTGTTTCCCCTAAAATGTAGAAAAAGCCGACGTGTAACGACCTTCAAGACCAAAATAATGCAGAACCTTCAAATAAGTACTGTTTATGCTGAAATAATGGTCGTGGTTCCTTTAAGTTTCAATTATACTCGCACTCCCATTTCATCAAGACCCCTGCATCTCCCAAGGATGTAGATAAAGGCGACGGGTAACGGCATTCCTGGCCAAAACCTCTAAAGAATGCAGGACTATTTATCATATTTTGTTCACACTGAAATAATGGCGAGGCTTCCTTTACGTTTACAATATTCTCTCCCATTTCTTTAAGAATTTTGCTTGGCGAGGTGTTGTGTCGGCGGCTGTAATCACACCAATTCATTCATAAAGTCTATTCATATCAGTGAGTACATTAAAATTGTACGTCACATGATCATTATTTAAGCTGTGTCGTTACAACACGCGAGAAGATATATTTGAGGCGGGTATCGCTCTAAACTTTCGCTATTAAAATTTTTCAGAAAATATATAATTTTCATGGTGATGTAATAGCCATCAAAGTGTCTTGTGGAAGTAGTCACGAAAACACAGGCTAGGGTGTGAGAATTTTCATTTGCTGGTGACAAACTGATGACAAACTGACACCCTGTAATAAGGGAATGAGATAATAAGAATACAGTTCATTCACAATCTGACATATAAAAGCAACAATTTTACATAATCATAAGTCACAGGCTTTATTTAAGGGATATTGCGGTTGTTGAAGTTATTGCAATACGGATATGGCATGGCATGCTGATGTTATATTCAATTAATTATACTATCGCCAACGTTAATTCTACCATGGATACGTGAAATGCTCGAATTTGATTGGTCAATCAATAAAATCAGAAGGTATCAATTTGGATTGAAAATGCGTCTGATTTCACGGCGCTTTACTGCGCACATATACAACACTGCCGCACTACTTCAGCTTGGCCACCAACATGACTAATATCAACACAACAGATCGACGTGATGGAAATGCTGATGAAACATTTATTAAAACTCGAAAAATACAATTATACGATTTCTTCTCCACAATTATTAGGGAACCTCACTATCATAATTATTACCTTCTATTATAAAAATATTCCAACTCAATTACAATACACAGCCCCAAACATAAACAAACAATATCTAACGTATAAATCAGAAAACCTTGTAAAAATAAAAAATACATCCCTATCTATCCCTATTTGTGCGGCAAAACGTTCGTAAACATTTACCTACCTGGTAAATGGTATATTTGTTTCCGTTTAGAATCATAAATTCGCAAGATAACGGTCAGGCGAGACACAAAATTTAGGCCACTCATACTCCATCATGTCCTGTTGCATCGTTCAAAATGTCAAAAATTGAACCACGAGAATTCCGCTCTCTGCCACCTTCCCCGCAAGGCTGTCACTGCTATGTTCGTACACTTTGAAAAGCTTGGCCTAAATCCAGTCCCAAATGATGAGAAGAATGTTCCAAGGAATCCCAAGTTAGTCGCATGTACACAAAGCAGCACTGTCACTCTTTTGTCGCATGCCGGGGTGAAGGCAGGTACCTGAAATCACGATCGACACTCGCCGGTCATAAAAATCAACAGTCTTTCGACTCTTTGATGAGTTACAGGACATAGTTTGATCAGAAATGGATGTATTTTTCGATTCTGCAGGGTTCAGGTTCGACAGTCAGTTAAGTATTTTCCACTGTCACTTCGAATTTCAACCTTTCGCAAAATGTAAACACTGGCTCGTCCGCCATTTCAAACTGTTGCGTAACTGTCTACTTTCAAGAAAATAAGTAGGTCAGACGATTCCATTATAGCGTTACATTATTGCATTGAATAAACAGTAGTTTGTTTTCTTTGGACAGAATATTTTTATGTTGCAATGTTAACAAAATACGAACGGCACCTACCACTCCCTTCACAGACGAGTTCAATTCGCCTCTCGCCCCATGCCGGATTACGCCGCGTGTCTTCCGCAGGACGAGGAAGTTCGATGTTAAATCGGTTATGGTAGAATGGAGATAAACATACTGTGTTTGGAAATTAGATGAATGTTAGACCGAATAGTCTCTAAATTAATCATTTGAAACCTAACGCTACGCGTTCGGCTTCAAATGAAATTTAGAGACTATCAATTCGGTCTAACATTCATCTAATTTCCAAACACAGTATGTTTATCTCCTAAATATATAAACATATGTACCCTGTGATTCCTACGGGGGTGTTGTTGTCCGTACTCAAGATAATCTTGTATGAACCTGTTCGTGATATAAAACATACCATGAGTACTTATCTATTTACACATCTAAATATTTCATCTAAACTATTATCAATTCAGTAATAAACAATAAAAATACTGCAAGATAACCAAAACCACACATACCATCAGATATGGTATTTCTTATATACATACACTCAACATGCACACACACAAAGTATATGTGACATGTTTAAACATAACATTAATCTGATATAGATATATTTACATGAAGTGATTTATACATTACAAAGGCATAAAACTAACCCTTATAATTTCTGGTCCTGTGTCTCCAAGTGTCCAAGGGCAAGTTGTAAGTGCCAGTGACGAGAATGCATATGTGGAAAACAAAGGGTTTGAAAGTGGGACACCTAATTCAAAATTAGCCAATCTTTAAAATACCTGGGCTTATACTTTGATTGCTAGCTGATCTACCCGACACTGAAGTGGACTTTACCCAGTGAAATTAGTTAACAAAAGAAATTAGCTTTAATAATCCTAGTTTACTTGCAACCGTTAAATATCTTATGCAGCCTGAAATAAGAGATTTGATTATTCATAACTTAACCATTATCGGCATGAGTATATATTTATCGATTAAAAGAGGATGTTTACTCAACACGAAGGTGAGTGACTCAGAAAATATTACATGTTGTTTATATTTGGACTGTTAAAAAGATAGAATCGTCCTGCTGTGAATATAGTTCTGGATCCAATAATAGAGGCACAGGCAACTGTGAAACCATCCACGGATCTATTTGTAGAAAAAGGTGGGTGGGTGTGGTGTCTTTGTGGGAGCGTGACTTTAAGCGTCTGGCGCCCAGCAGGAAGCTAGGGTTAGCCGGGGAAATAATGTGTTAGCGCTTTGAGCATGCGCAAGTGTGTGGAAACAGGCGGTTTATAATTGATCATTATTAGTATCTTTTACAGATTAAAAATAGTATGCAGCAGAGAGGTTTAAGGTGATCTTGGCACAGTCAGGCTGATGAGGCTCATCATCCACTCAGGGTCTTTGACCCCTGTACATGCAGCCCAGACAGCGAATGGGACTTCTCCCAGGATGCGCTGCCTTGTCGAACCTATCAGGGACTGTCCGGAGAAAAAGAAGGCTCCTCAACACTGCAGCTTTCTGCATTACCCAGAGTGTCAGAAGGGCTGTGTTCCTTGTGTAGAACCCTTGGCAGATCAGGAGGTACCAAACCAAGGGCACCGTGAACAATGGGGAGTCTGGCGACAGTGTACTTGGGATGCAAGCGATACATTTCAAAGGCGAGGTCCGCATTTTTAGCATGCTTTTTCTGAATCTTGCCAATCACATTGCTGTCAAAAGGACAGAAAATTCAATGATATAAATAAATTCATTGGCTTTGTCAAGAAGGACAAGATCAGGTTTGTTGGCTGGAATTCTTCTAAGGCTGTATATGGAGCCTATTCCAAAGACGTTTAGAAGCACCATTTTCCATGAAGCCCTAGACCTGAGAGTCCAAGCCACAGGCATGGCGAAGACAATAGTAGAAGCAACGAGCCATGCCGTCATGTCTTTCAATATATGCTGTTTTTGCAAGGAAGGGTATCCACTCACAAAGTGTTGTAAATTCATTGCAAAGTCGACATATTATGTCAATACTTCCTTTAAGAATCACATTTAGGCCATTGCGAGTGGGAAGTGACTGGTCCTGGGCAACAAACAAAAGCCCTCAGTTTCAAATTTAAGACCAGCTGACTTCATCCAGGCGAAGGAGTCGGTTGAATTACTGTTCTATTCCACACACTGCATGTACACACGATGCAATGGTTTCTCGGAA